TGACTGATAAAAAAAAGAAAAAAGAACCAGTTGTAAATTCCAGAACTGAGAGGTACATGAATAGAAATGAAGAATTCAGTGTGGAGTTTAATCCCAAATCAGGGACAGCTGAAGAGAGAATTAGTGAAATGAAGGCTAGATCAGAAGGAAATACGCATTATAGCATAATATAGTAAGTGCCTGTTCTGTGTCTGGTTTAAACTCTTGGTACTCAGCTGTGGGCAAAAGGACATAGTCCCTGCTTTACGGAGCTGACATTCAAACTCAGTGCTGAGTAAATCAATGCTATGAGGAAACCAAGAGGATAGTGTGAGAAGAAAGAGATGAGGAGTGGGGGACGTATTCTAGGCAACTGGTCAGGACAGGCCGCTCACAAGCAGGGGTGACATTGAATGGAGGAGTCTAGGTAGGAAAAGCATGGAGATTGCTAAGCCATACCAGTTTCACAATGTTCTTTAGTGACTGTCCCCAGGGCCTAGCAGTCTCAGGGGGGTAAGTACTCAGTGTGTACTTGTTCAGTGACAGAGTGGAATATAGCAGGGGTGGAGAGAGGAGAAGGGCATTGTAGCACATATTACAGTGTGATCTGTCCTGAACTTTTCACCCTTTCTCAGCCGGGGTGAAAAGCACCAAGTAGCACCATATAGCATTCAGGATAAATCTTATCTATCCATCCATGCATCTGTGTGTCCACACATCCACCTACCTATCATTCCATCTATCCATCCATCCATCGATCTACCTACCCACCCATCCATCCATCTACCCACCCACCACCCATCTCTCTACCCAACCACCCATCCATTCATCTATCTACCCACCTACCATCCATCTATCCACCCACCCACCCACCCACCCATCCATCTGTCCATCCATCCATCCATCCATCCATCCATCCATCCATCCATCCATCCATCCATCCAGCTATCCATCCATCTTTTCACTAATTGGTCTATTTATTAACACTGGCTGTTTGTCTACCAAGATAAATGAGTGAGGGTCCCTTCCTTTAAGGAGCTCATAGTGGAGAGAGACTTGCATTGTAATAACATGAAACTGAGTGAAACCATGCCATTATGGCAGCAGGGCTTTTGGGTACAGAAAGTAATTCTGCTTGGGAAGAATGGAAGGCAAGCTAGAGCTAGAGTTGGTTTGATACCCCCCCCCCCAAAGCTGGATCTCAGGGCCTTGTACTTGCTAGACAGTTTAATCCTTGAGCCACACCATTTCCAGCCCTTGAGCTTGATTTTTTTTTGGGGGGGGGACGTTGGTCGTGGGGCTTGAACTCTGGGCTTGGGCGCTTTCCCTGTTCTCTTTAGCTCAAGGCAAGCACTGTACCATGTGAGCCATAGCACTGCTCCGGTTTTCTGGTGGTTTACTGGAGATAAGAGTCTCAAGAACTCTCTTGCCTGGGCTGGCTTTGAACCCCAATCCTCAGCTCTCAGCCTCCTGAGTAGCTAGGATTACAGGCATGAGCCACCAGTGCCCGGCTTGAGCTTGTTTTTGAAGAACTGAGTGGAATTTTTCCCAAGTGGAAAAGGCAAAGGAGAATGTTCCCACTGGAAGAAGCCAAAGCTTGGGAAAAAGTATGCTAGTTTCCAGGGAAAGGTGGAGGGCAGAAGATAAAGGTGCAAGATATCCTGCTAAGCGGCAGAGGGCAAAGGTGGTAGCAATGTGGAAAAGGGGGAGCTAAGGCTCAAGGACCTCTCTCCTTTATCAGCTGCCTTTTCTTCCTGAGATAGTGGGACCTAATAAACTCTTTTTTCAAAATTTTTTTTATTGTGATTAAGTGGTTTCCCAAATTTCACAGTATTGTGGGATAGTGATGCTCAGTTAAAGTCACAAGCACATTCTAACTTTCCTGGAGCAAATTGTCTATCACGGTCTATAACATTTATGAGTCCTATGAGCTTGGCAATACAGTTATTTCTTCCACATTGGGTGATATGTACATTTGTTTTGCATAGCATCAGCTGTTCCCTCTTTCCCACTTGTTCCCTCCCTCCCATCGCTGCCATTGAGTTGCTTACTTCATTTTGGTCAATGTCCAGGGCACCTGATGGGTCCCACTGTTGTATGTTTTTCCCTAATTCCCTCTAGTTCTGTGTCGTCCTCCTGGTTTCCCTCCCCGTGTGCACATATATACCATACATGTGATCAGCAGCATAGGGTTATTTAGTAGTGATTCGACCAGATGAGTGGAAGTCCTTTGTTTCTTAAGTCCTGTTAATTTTGTTGTATCACCTAACATTTTGGATTTAATATCCACTTATTAGGGAGACCATGTACCGTTTGTCTCTTTGTACTTGGCTTACCTAGCTCAACGTATTTCTTCTAGCTCCATCCATTTCCCTGCAAATGCCATTATTTTGTTCTTTCTAATGGCTGCAGAATGTGTATAGCTACCACAATTTTTGGATCCATTCATCTGTGGTGGGACATCTGGGTTGTTTTCATATCCTGGCTATTGTGAACAGTGCTGCAATAAACATGGAGGTGCATGTGTCCTTGTATACTGGTTCCTGTTGTTCAGGATAGATGCCTAGAAATGGTATGACTGGGTCATAAGGGAGGTCAATATTTAGCTTTCTGAGGACCCTCCAGACTGCTTTCCAAAGTGGTTGTACATGCCCACCAGCAGTGTAATAGGGTTCCTCTTTCTCCGCATCCCCTCCAGCATTTGTCTTTGGCTGACTTGAGGACCTAATAAACTCTTTAAACCCAAAGGAGGTCACAATTGATAGGAGGTATCTTTCAGGAAATGACTTAAATAAAATGTGGACTCTGTTCACTCTCAAGAATAGAAACTGATGCTGGGTAGAAAAGTATGTGAGACTCTTATCTCTAATTAATCAGTAAAAAACAGGAAGTGAAAATGTGACTAAAGTGGTAGAGCACCAGCTTTGAGTAAAATAGCCAAGGGCCTTGAGTTATATTCTCTCACACTCTCTTTATCTTTCTTTGTCTCTTTCTGTCTCTCTCTCTGTGTCATGGGGTTTGAACTCAGGACCTGGGCACTGTCTCTGAGCTTTTCAGCCCAAGGCTAGCACTCTATTGTTTTGAGCCACATCTCCACTTCCAGTTTCCTGGTGGTTAATTGGAGATAAGAGTCTCTTGGAAAATAAAAAAAAAAAAAGAATCTCTTGGTCTTTCCTGCCTGAGCTGGCTTTGAACCATGCTCCTCAGATCTCAGCCTCCTGGGTAGCTGATTACAGGCATGAGCCACCAGTGCCCAACCTATTTTCTCTTTTTTTTAAATTGGTTTATGCAGGTGCTTTACCACTTGAGCCATGCTCCCAGCTAAGAATTTTATTTTATTCGGTAGTACAGGGATTTGAACTCAGGGCCTGGTACTCTACCACTAGGTTTCCAGCCTTTTTAGCTTTAGTTATTCTTCAGGGGGAATCTTATGTTTTTCCCCCGGACCAGCCTTTGAATGAGATTCTTCTACCTGTGGCCTGCTGAGTAGCTGACATTATAGTGGTACCTAGTTGTATAGGAACCACACTTTTTTGGATCTACTAGACTATTGTAGGATGTTGTGGCTGTTTCCATGGGGAAACTCAGATTTAAGAATCATTTATTTGTCAGGCACTTGGGTGGCTCACACCTGTAATCTTAGCTACTCAGGAAGCTGAGATCTGAGGATCTCAGTTCAAAGCCAGTTTGAGCAGGAAGGCCTGTGAGACTCTCATCTCCAATAAGCCACTCAGAAAACCTGAAGTGGTGCAGTGGCTCAAGTGGTAAAGTGGTAGCCTTGAGCTGAAGAGCTGAGGGACAGTGCCCAGGCCCAGAGTTCAAGCCCCATCCATGACCGGAGGAGGAGGGGGAGGGGGGAGGGGGAGGGGGAGGGGCAGGGGGAGGGGAGGGGGAGGGGAGGGGAGGGGGAGGAGGAGGAGGAGGAGGAGGAGGAGGAAGAGGAGGATCATTTTGAGAGACCAAAAATAAGTTTAGCAGTAATTTCAGACAAAACTAAATATTTGTCATCTGTTACTGGAAAGTGTTAGATCCTGCACCAAGGCAAGATAACAGTAAGAATTATTAAGGGATCAGGCTGCCCTGAAAAGTCCAGGAATTTGGGCAGTCTCCCCGCAACTCTGTCGAGAAAACATTTAGGACAAGACAAAATTCAGCATTCCTGTGGTTAGCCCCACTTATCCAACCAATGATGTATGATTTAATCTATCCTGTAACCACTAAACTAGAAAGTCCCTGCCCTTACTGGCCATGATCATACCCCTAACCAATGAGCTTGACATCCTTCCCCTTGCTACATACTCAATAAAAACCCTGCTGGACAAGGGGTCGGGGCTCACAACTCTGACCAGCTGTGTCGAGCTTGCAAATAAACGACTCTTTCGCTGTTTGCATTGGTCGTGTTCTCTGGAGGTCGCTCGGGGGATTCAAGTTCGAGTCCTGGGGCTTGAACTCAGGGCCTGGGCACTGTCCTGAGCTTCTTTTGCTCAAGGCTAGCACGACCACTTGAGTCACAGCGCCACTTCTGGCTTTTTCTGTTTATGTGGTCCTGAGGAATGGAACCCAGGGCTTCATGCATGCTAGACAAGCACTCTGCCACTGAGCCACATTCCCAGCCCTTAAGAATCATTTATTATCTGTGTCATTTCAATTCATCCTCAAAACAGTCCTCCTGAATACATTACTATCAGATGGCAAAACAGCAGGATAAGTAAAATTTCACCCAGATCTGTGTCACAAACCCTCAGGCCCAGAGGCTTCCAGCAGTCCCCTGAACCTAACCCCAGGAGTTTTCTTCTGTGGGTCCACGTTGTTTTGGAATGAACAAACCCTCTCTCACCAGGGACCAGTAGTCCACTGAGAGTAATGAATTCTGGGATATGCAGTATCCCGCAGAGGCGGGACTCCGTCAGCCAATAGTATTTGAGTGTAGTACACTAAGCCCGCCTCCCCTGGCCGCTGATTGCTCTGATTGGCCAATGTTAAAGTCACGTGTCGTGGTTGCCCAGGGAACAGAGTGACAACAAGATGGCGGCGGCGCGGGCTGGCTCGACCCTCCGGGGTGGTGAGTCATGTAGATATATAGCTCCTCCCATGCTTTTCAGTCCCTGAAGTCCCCACGCCGGCTGGGGTCCGCGGTCCCCGAGCCTGTCTGTCTCTGCAGGCCTAGCTTTCTTGGGCTGGCCCCTCGCCCGGAAGCGGGGTTTGGGACGCCGCTCACGTCGACCCCGCGTGGGGCGAGGCGGCTCTGGAGGCGGGGTTCGGCCGCTGCGAAAGCTGGGCGCGAGCGCGGCCCGCAGCGGCTGCGGAGGCGGCGTGCAGCCGCCGGGCCTGGCGGGCGGGAGCGCGGCTAGGCCCAGGGGGCGTGGCGAAGGATGCCAGTCACACACTGTACCCTACAGGGCTTGGGGCCCACGACGCAAAGGCGTAGGACGGGCTCGAACCCTCAGCACCAGTATGAAGGGCGAGGCCGACTTTTAAGGACCCTCAGTAGTGGAGGGTTTAAACGTGATTCTGTCGTCAGGGGCCCTAACCTGCGGGGGGAGACGCACCCGAGCCCCCAGACTGATGAGGAAACCCAGCTTTGCCTCTGAGATCTCCTATAACCCGCGGGAGGTTCTGTCTGGAGACAGGGTCGGGGGTCGAAATGGATGGAGTGAAAACGGAGTGGTAACCCCAAAGAGTGTCTCCCTAGGGTAGCCAGCAGTGGCCGTGGAAATAAGGTGCCACTGTGAGAGAACATGGCAGCGTTTAACCTTCCAGGTTTGGAAACTGATGGCGGTAAGGGAGAAGGATGTGAGAGTTTTGTAGTTGAACCACGTGGTCCCACTAAGAGAACTTGTAGCTGGGCGTGGGTGGCTCACACCTGTAATCTTAGCTAATAAAGAGACTGAGATCTGAGGTTCCCAGTTTGAAGCCAGCACAGCTGGAAAGACTCTGTCAGACTTTTTTTTTTTGGTCGGTCGTGAGGCTTGAACTCTGGGCCTGGGTGCTGTCCTTGAGCTCTTCAGCTCAAGGCTAGTGCTCTACCGCTTGAGCCACAGCGCCACTTCCGGTTTTCTAGTTGGGGGGGGGGGGGGTTATTGGAGAAGAGTCTCATGGACTTACCTGCCCGGGCTTGCTTTGAACCGCAATCCTCAGATCTCAGCCTCCTGAGTCGCTAGGATTACAGGCGTGAGCCACCGGTGCCCAGCTTCTGTCAGATCTTATCTCCAACTAACCACCAAAAAGCTGGACTTGGAACTGTGGCTCAAATGGTAAACTGTCGACCTTGCATGGAAAAAGTTAAGGGACATCATCCAGTCCCTAAGTTCAAGACCCAGCACTACCACACACATAAAAATTAGCAGATGGGCTGGGAAGGTAGCTCAGCGGTAGAGTGCATGCCTTGCAAGCATGAGGCCCTGGGTTCGATTCCTCAGCACCACATAAGCAAAAAGAAAAAAAAAAGGCCGGAAGTGGCGCTGTGGCTCCAGTGGTAGAGCTCTAGCCTTGAGCTGAAGAGCTGAGGGATGGTGCCCAGGCCCAGAGCTCAGGCCCCATGACCGGCAAAAAAAAAAAAAAAAAAAAGAATTAGCAGAAAGATGCTGGGTTTGGTTGGTGAGGGTGGAAGGTTTTTCTTTTTTCCTATGAAGGCTTTCTTATATATGTTACCCCTTTAAAGTGTAAATTTCAGTCACTTTTAGATTATGTGCCATTTGTATGAAATATCCATAATGGGCAAATCTATAGAGAGAGAAAGTAGATTGTGCCTGCTATGGCTAGCTGAAAGGTTACAGGGACATTTTAGGCTGATGGAAATGCTCTGAAATTGTGATAATGGCTACTGAAGTCTGTGAATATGCTGAAAACTTTATAGTTTAAAAGTGTGTTAATTACATCTCAAAGTTTATTAGGAAACAGATCATATATGATTCTATTTGTATAATTTTTTCCCCCAGTCATGGGGCTTGAACTTTGGGCCTGGGCACTGTCCCTGAACTCTTGAGCTCTAGCCTAGCACTCTACCACTTGAGCCACAGCACCACTTCTGGTTTTCTAGTTGTTAATTGGAGATAAGAGTCTCGTGGATTTTCTCTGCCTGGGCTGGCTTTCAGATCTCAGCCCCCTGAGTAGCTAGGATTATAGGCGTGAGCCACGGGCGCCTGGCTTCCATTTGTATACTTTTATTGAAGTAAGGAAATTGCAGAAGCTAGGCGTGGTGTCACAGGCCTGTAACTCCAACACTCAGGGGGGCTGGGATAGGAAGACCTTGTGTTTGAGGTCACACAGTGAGACCCTGTTTCAGAAAAACAAATAGAACAAAGCTGGTGCCAGTGGCTCACCCTGTAATCCTAGCTACGGAGGAGGCTGAGATCTGAGGATTGCAGTTGGAAGCCAACCAGGGCAGGAAGGTGCATGAGCCTCTTATCTCCAATTAGGAAGTGGTGCTGTGGCTCTAAGTGGTAGAATGCTAGCCTTGAGTGAAAAAGCTTAGAGACAGTATCCAAGCCCTAAGTTCAAATACCAGGATGGACAAAACAAACAAACAAACAAAAGGCAACAGAACAAATACAAGACAGAGAGGCAGGGAGGAAAATTCTAGAGGGAATAAGGCCTACAGAGGGAAGGAAGATGTGTATGATTAGTAAAATTTTAAAGAGGCAGCAGAAGAAAAACTCATCAGGGACAAGAAGAGGTCTGCATCTTGACTGCTATGGTGGCTAAACTCTATCTACCCATGTGATCAAATGGTATAGGCCTGTACACACAAACTCTACACAAGCAGTTTTCTGAACTTGATATTGCACCTTAATTATATAAAATGAAACTATGGAGGAAACCTGGGTGAGAAATCAGTGTGACATCTGTACTATTGCCCTAATTTCCTCTGAGTCTATAATTAATTTCAAATAAAAAGCTAAAATATGACCGAAACAAGCAAACATAAGGAAAAAAAATCAAGAGTTAGCCTGGGTTTGGGTCAGGAAGAGAGACCATTCCAGAAAGGGAGAGGAGGGAGGGGACCCACATGTATTTGTAAGGCACTCCAGCAGCACAGCTGGCTCAGTGCACAGGACATAGTCAGGGACCAGATCACTACATTAAGGAATTTGGGATTCTTTTTTTCTTTCTTTATGGGGTTTGGACTCAAAGGCTGTCCACTAAGTTGGTATTAGTATGTTCCCCTCCGTTTTGGGCTGACAGTCTTCATCCTAGGCGGTCAGCACGTCTCTAGCTCCCAGCCTGTCAGCAGAACACCCTTCGCCCAGACCTGAACTCCACCCTGCCTACAAGCTATTTTCAGCATCCAGGTGCTTTTCATTTGGTAGGTACTCTACCACTCTAGTTAGCCCTTTAGGCTTTAGTTATATTTTCAGATAAGGTCTTAGGGTACTGGTACTTGAACTCAGGGTCTGAGTGTTGTCCTTTAGCTTTTTACTCAAGGCTGGTGCTTGGTACTTGAGCCACAGCTCCATTTCTGGCTTTTTGATTCTTAATTGGAAACAGGAGTCCAATGGATTTTCCTGCCTAGGCTAAGCACTGAACTGCAGTACTTAGCTCTCAGCCTCCCTAGTAGCTATGATTACAGGTGTGAGCCCCTGGTGCCTGCCCCTGTGCAGTCCTGCTAGGATATCTAGCTTATGATTGATGTGGGGAATCACACTGTTGTTGCTTGTGCTGGCATTGAACTGCAGTCCTGATCTCCACCTCCCAAATAGCCTGATTACAGCCATGGGCCACCATACCCAGCTAGAATTTATAATTCTTTTGCAGGCCTGTGATACATTAGCTTTGTTTTGTTGTTGTTTTGTTTTGTTTTTGGTTGGTTGTGGGACTTGAACTCTGGGCCTGGGTGCTGTCCCTCAGCTCTTCAGCTCAAGGCTGGTACTCTATGACTTGAGCTACAGTGCCACTTCTGGCTTTCTGAGTGATTTATTGAGGGTAAGAGTCTCAGGGACGTGTTCGCTTCGGCAACACATATACTAAAATTGGAACGATACAGAGAAGATTAGCATGGCCCCTGGGCAAGGATGATACGCAAATTCGTGAAGCGTTCCATATTTTTTGTTGGTATAATTTGTGGAGGGGAAGGGGAAAAAAATCGTTTAAATAGGGATACAGGTGGACCCATTGCAACAATGAGATGTACAGTCGTTATGTCGAAAACGAACTTTACAGGTGCGGTCTCCCCCCCCCCCTGCACAGGGAGGATTGGGTGGGAGGGCGGAGGGAGGATGGGAAGGGATGGGAAGGGGAAACAAAAGAGGAGGCTACAATGTACTCATTATCTTGCTCATGTAATTGTAACCCCTCTGTACAGTATTTTCACAATAAAAAAAAAAAAAAAGAGTCTCAGGGACTTTTCTGTGCGGGCTGGCTTTGAACCGTGATCCTCAGATCTCAGACTCCTGAGCAGCTAGGATTACAGGCGTGAGCCACTGGCGCACGGCTTAGCTTTGTTTTAAGAAGATCCTCCAGTAGCTTGTGAGATTGAGTGACTATCCTCCTTGGCCTCATAAGCCATGAAGATGCTCAGACAGCACAGTGGGGCAGGGGCAGGGTGGGAGGCCAGATGGTAGGGGCGGGCCTAGGTTTTTGAGGGAGACTGCTCAGGAAAGGGCATGACATGAATCCCAGACTCTAGAATGAGGGTGCAGGAGATTGCCTCCTGCCCTAGCTGGGTAGTTTCAGGGCTCTGATGGATGCCAGTATTATACATTTCCAAAGAGGAATTTCTTTGGGCTTATTCTAAAAAGGTCTGGCTCCACACCTCCCTGATGGAGGCCTTGCCTTTGGTTCCAGGACTTCTAGATCTTAATCACTCGCTATAGTGTGTGTTAAGGAGAGCAGTGGTCAGAGTCATGTTCCTTTTTCTTGGAGGAAAGAAGGAAGGAAGGGAGAGTAACACTTACAACTATTCAGACTTGTGTGCCAGCAACAGCCAAGCTTCCATGTTCAGAGGCTTCCTATGAGCTTAGCTCTAGGCTGGATGTTTGATTCTCTTTATTTATTTTTGCCAGTCCTGGAGCTTGAACTCAAGGCCTGGGCACTGTCCCTGAGCTGCTTTTGCTCAAGACTAGCACTGTACCACTTGAGCCACAGCGCCACTTCCATCTTTTTCTGTGTATGTGGTAGTGAGGAATGGAACCCATGCATGCTAGGCAAACACTCTACCACTCAGCCACATTCCAAATCCCCTCTTCATTTATTTATTTTTTGTCCAAAACTGGGACTTGAACTTGATATTGGATGCTTCTGTTCATTGGCTGACATTCTACCATCTGAGTTATGCCTCCAACCAGGGCTGGATGTTTGGGATCCTTGAATCTCTCAGTACCTTGTCTGGCTGGTACTGTTTTTGTCCACATTTTATACCCAAGGACCTGAAGCACTGCTTATGCTATAGGCCACGGAACCTGTGCAGGACTCTGGGGCTTGTCCTCCACATCACCTGGGCTCCTTTTTTCTTTTTCTATTTATTTGTGTGTGTGTGTGTGTGTGTGTGTGTGTGTGTATGTGTGTGTACTAGAGTTAGGGCTTGGATGCTGTCCTTTAGCTTTTTTTCTCAAGGCTTGGCGCTCTACCAGTTGAGCCACAGCTCTACTTCCAGCTTTTTGCTGGTTAGTTGGAGATAAGAGTCTCGTGGGATTGGGAAGATGGCTTATTTGTAAAATGCTTGCCTAACATGCATAAAGCCCTGGGTTCCATTCCTCAGTACATACACAGAAAAAGCCGGAAGTGGAACTGTGGCTCAAGTGGTAGAGTGCTAGCCTTGAGCAAAGAAGCTCAGGCACAGTGCCCAGGCCCTGAGTTAAAGCCCCAGGACTGGCAAAAAAGAAAAAAGAAAAAGTCTGCATGGGCTGGCTTTGAACTTTGATTCTTAGATCTCAGCCTCCTGAGTAGCTAGGTTTATAGTCACGAGCCACCAGTGCCCAGCATTGGGCTCTGACTCTATTGAACCCTCCCTGTGTGTTGCCCCTTCTGCCTCTGAGATGTTGGGATGTGGCACCTAGGTTCTGGCAGGAAGCTGGGCTTTGTGTCAGTCAGCTCACAAGTGGATGAACAGGTTTCCTGGTAGTCTTGTGCTCAGGCCTTAAGCTTGGGGAAGCTTCAGACCTCTGACCCACCTCTACAACCTCCAGCCCATGCCCTCACATAGCCCTTTCCTAAGCTCCTTGGCCAAAGGTCTCCATGCTTATAACAGAGTTGGGTACCAGAGGAGTAGCCTGATATCAGAAACCTCTGCCTGGCGTTGGAGCAGTGAGGGCTGCTGTCTCTGGCCATGCTCCCGTAGGAAGAGTAGGCAGGAAAGGAAAAGCTTCAGACAGAAGCTCCTGGGGCCCGAGGGCTGACTCCCCTCTTTCCTCTCAGGGAGTTCCTGAGGGCTGGACTTTAGAACTATGAGCTCACCTCTGGCCTCTCTTAGCAAGACTCGGAAAGTGCCTCTGCAGTCAGAGCCTGTGAATCTTGGGTAAGGATCTGGCCTCCTGGGGGTCCTTATGTCCCTTGCCCTGTCTCCTCTTTAACCTTTCTCTGGTCAGAGAAGAATGACTCGTATGTCTTGGGGAAGGCAAGGTAGTTATACAGTTTTCCCTGACCAATTTCTTTCTCTTCTTCCACCTTCTGGGGAGCTCTGATTTTTGCTAACCATAGACTAGATTGTGTCGAGTGCGTGTGTGTCTGTGTGTGTGCCCGCACATGTGTGTGTGCCCATGCTGGGGCCTGAACTCAGGACCTGTGCTGTCCCTTAGCTTTTTGGTCAGGGCTGGTGCTCTATCACTTGAGCCAGAACTGGTTTTTCATTGGTTAGTTAGATAAATGTCCCATGGACTTTTCTGCCCAGGCTGGCTTGGAATTGGGGATCCTCAGATGTCAGTCTCCTGAGTAACTCAGATTACAGGTATGTGCCACAGGCACCTGGCTAGATTGTTTCTTTTTGTAAGGCTTTGGGCCTTGTGGAAGTGGCCCAGCACCTGTCATTCACTATTTACTTATTGGTTCTGTGAATACTCATGTGCTGCCAGTCCTGAGCCAGGTCCTGGGCTTGGAGCTCAGTAAAGGAAATCTCTTCTATCTGGTAGTCTTTGCAAAAGCTTTTTAAAAAGCTTTAATTTCCTTCTGAACATAGCTGGTGTCATTCTCAGGCCAAGGCAATCTAGAGGGGCAGGCCTGGGGGCCCAGCGTGCAGGCTCTGGGATCTTGGCCTCTTCCCAGGAGTGTCTCACAGTGCTCATGTCCTCCACGTGGAGGAGTCTGCATTCCCCAGCATGTCCCTTGGCTCACCCTGGCTAGGGAGGGGACGGGCTGGAAGTCCTCGGGAGCCAGAGGCCTAACTTCCATCTCTTCCAGCCTTGGCTGGGACCTGGGGCCTGGAACATTCCCTTGGTGGCAATCCAAGGCTCTTACTTTGTGTTTCTTCCTTCTTCCTGCCTGGGATCGCAGGAGGCGAGGGATACGAATCTACGGAGGTGGTAAGTCTGCCATCTGCCATCCGCTCTTTGTCCTCTGCCCTCTGCCATTTGCCCTTGTGTCCTTCTCCCCACCCACCTGTCTGGACCTCGGCATGGCTGAGAAGCTGGGGAGAGAAGGTGTGATAAGATCCACCAGTTGGGGTCTGAGCCTGCTACCCAGGCTGTACAGCTCCTCGCCCTCTCTGGGAACCTAGGTTTGAAGATTAAGAGGCCCTGTCCCCTTGGCAGAGATGTCCCCACTAACATTTAAGCCCCTTTACCCGCCATGGGATATCTATAGATGCCTAGAAGCTATGCAGAGGCCAAGAAATAACCTAGCCCAGAAGCATAGACCCCATCCCTCACATCCAGCTTCCTCCAGCCCCTTTGAGCCTTCCTCTGTGGAGCCCTAGCCTTATACTGCTGCCCTGACTTCTGTATGCTTTTTGTGGGGTAGTATATAAGCTGCTTCACTCTGGCCAGGGCCTGAGCTCCCTCTAGCTTGGGCTCAGAGCAGTGACTTGGATGTTTCTGTCTGCAGAAGATGAAGTAGACATGCTGAATGATGGAAACGACTCCCAAGAAAAGATCTGTGTCCCTTCCTGCTATGGTGGCATCGGAAGTCCCGAGGGTAGGCATGGTGAGAACAGAGACCTGAAAGGAACAAGGCCCTAAGACCCACGGCGCCTACTCATACCTCCTGGTCAGCTGTGGCATGTGCCTGTCCCCCAAGGCCTGTCCAGGACAGGGCTTAGCTAAAGCTACATAACCTCCCCCTTTATTCCAGGAGGCTGGCCAAGCCCCAAGCCAGGCTGTGGCTGGAGCTTTTGCAGTTCCCATCAAACGTAATGACAGCAGGGTCTGAGGGGAGAGCTGGGCCTCTGGCTGCCCACTTCCTTGTCTTAGGGTCTCTCGCTCAGGGTCCCCAAGGTGACCCACTTCATCCACCCAAGGCTGTGGCCACACTGAACTTGTGGAGGGGCCAATCAGGGTGGCTTCATAAAGGAGGGAGGATTTAACAAGGTGTGGGGGACAGAGGGAGGCTAGGATGAGACAGGGATGAGCTGTGTGAATTAGGCCTGAGCTGGAAGTCTGGGGAAGCTGGGGGGGTAGGCTAGAACTTTCCACCTGCTGTGGTGCCCCTGCCTCCATTTCTTCCTCTATGAAGAGGAGTTGGGGAGTGCCCAGGCTGTGGTGTCAGGAGCATCTGGTGCCATACTGTTTTGACAGAAGACTCCCCAGCCAGTGCTGGGCATCCGAAAGCATTTGACAGTTGGGGAATTGAGGCAGAAGCAATGGAACAGGCCTGTTCCCACTCCGTCCCAATACCAGGATCTCTGATGCACAGCTGGAATGAATACTGAGTGGTAACCATAGCAGTTGCCTTCTTCCCTTAACAGAGCTCTCAGTCCTCTCTCTGCTTCTCCCCTTTTGTTCTCTCCTGTCCGGCTCCTAGCCCAGGTCTGTCCCCACTAAGTTCTCCCGTAGGACCCGCTTGCCCTGCTTCACAGCAGGATGTGCACAGCAGCACCCACCTGCCCTAGGCCCGTCCGCTCAACAGCACCTTTGGCTCTGGCTGCCCTGTGGCTGGCCTCCAGCTGCCTGCTGCCCCCAGGTCTTTCCCCCTAGCCTTCCTTGCCAGGTCCTCTTTCCCCCTTCTCCCTCCCTTTTCCTCCTCCTCCCCCTCCCAAGCCCTCAGCTGCCTGAACTCTTGCCTCTCTCTACCTGGCCTCTGTGTGCATTCCTCCATCCCTGCAGTGTGTGCCAACAGCTCCAAAATGGACCTGTCATGTAAGATCTTTTGACTCCAAGTCAAAGGGGCCCTCATGCAGACAGCGTGGGCAGAGGAGATCTGGCACCCTCCAGCCCTCCAGCCCTGAGACAGCAGCATCAAGGCTGATGAGTTAGCGACTCAAGATAATGTGCAGATTTCCTCACCATCCTGTGTGGTCTCCCTGCTGCAGTTCCTGCTTCCCATGTAGTAAGGATGGTAGCCATAAGAGGAACAAAGCCTGTTTCTTCCCACCTCTCCTCTCTTTCTTTACCCAAACGAGTGTGTGTGTGTGTGTGTGTGTGTGTGTGTGTGTGTGCACTCACTCCAGTCCTGGGCCTTGCACTTAGGGCTTGAGCTCTGTCCCTGAGCTTCTTTTTGTTCAAGGCTAGCTCTCTATCATTTCAGTCACAGTACCAATTCTGGCTTTTTTTTTTTTTTTTCTGGTCGTGGGGCTTGAACTCTGGGCCTGGGCGCTGTTCTTCAGCTCTTCAGCTCAAGGCAAGTGCTCTACCACTTGAGCCACAGCGCCACTTCCCCAATTCTGGCTTTTTAAGAGTCTCACAGACTTTCCTGCCTAGACTAACTTCAAACTGCAATCCTCAAATCTCAGCCTCTTGAATAGGTAGGATTACAGGTATGAGCCACAAGCACCTGGCTTTTACCCTAACTTTTTTTTTTTTTTTGGGGGGGGGGTCTGGTCGTGGGGCCTGAACTCTGAGCCTGGGCGCTGTCCCTCAGCTCTTCAGCTCAAGGCTAGTGCTCTACCACTTGAGCCACAGCGCCACTTCCGGCTTTTTTCTTTTTGCTTATGTGGTGCTGAGGAATCGAACCCAGGGCCTCATGCATGCAAGGCAAGCGCTCTACCATTGAGCCACCTTCCTAGCCCCATACCCTAACTTTTAAATATGTCTTCCACCTCATTAACAATTGGTGTTGTTTCTCCTCATTTACCCACACACTCTCCATCTCCACAAGTACACAAATGCAAGAGTACTTTGTGGATGAACAATATCGAAGTGAACTGCAGAGACCATGACATGTCATCTCTATTTCAATACTCATCTCCTAAGAATAAGGAAATGCAGGGCTGGGAAGGTGGCTCAGTGGTAGAGCGCTTGCCTTGCATGAATAAGGAAATGCAGAGTCACATTATATGCAATTGTTATACCTCTTTATTTTTTTATTGTTTTTTATTTTTTTTATTGTGAAAATACTGTACAGAGGGGTTACAATTACATGGGCAAGATAGTGAGTACATTTCTTATCAAACATTGTAGCCTCCTCCTTTGTTTACTCTTCCCATCCCTTCCCATCCTCCCTTCCCTCCCCCCCCCCCCCCCCCCCCGTTATACCTCTTTAAAATGGTCTCTTTGCCTTTCAAATCAGTGACAGAGTCCCAGCCACTAGTTTTACAGAATTCCCCTCCCCACTCTAATTTGTCTGAGAACTGGAGTGTAGGCTGTGTGTGGGTGTGGTATGTGTGTATGTGTGTGTGTGTGTGTGTGAGTGTGTGCCACTACTGGTGCTTGAACTCAGGGCCTGGGTGCTGTCCCTTAGCTTTTTCACTCAGTGCTAGTGCTCTGCCATCTGAACTGCAGCTCCACTTCCAGCTTTTTACTGGTTAACTAAAGATCCAAGTCTCACAGACTTTGGTACCCAGGCTTGCTTTGAACCATGATGCTCAGATTTGTGAGTAACTGGGATGAGTAACAGGCATGAGTCACCAATACCTGGCTCTAGAGCTTAGGTTTTGAAGTACTAGGGGTTGAATTTAGGGCCTTTGGCTAGACAGATTCTCTACTGCTAATGCTATACTCAGCCTAGGTTTTGAGGTTCGATTAGCTTGTGGATGACAAGCTCTTCAGTGCACCCCAGTTTCCTGAAACAACTCCTGACATAATGGGACTGTAAGATCATATAAACTGGATCTATATGAGCTGACAGGCTATGTAACGAGTGTCGTGTAAGTCAGCTGCTTTCAGTGCCTTGTTTCCTGCTGTTGGAAGCTCCTCCTTGGCCTCCGTTCCTCACCCTTGGCACCAGGCCTGGCTCTAGAGATTGTTCACTCGGCAGGGTCTTCCTTCCATGACTCGGAGCTGATGACATCCATGGCGATGAAGCTGCAGAGCCTGGAGCAGCAGGTGAAGGACCAGAATGATGAGATACTGTCCAAGGTAGGACTCCAGGTGGGAGGAGGCCAGGGGAGCTCCGGGTGGAGCAGGTGGGTAGGTTCAAGCCCTCCACCCTCCACTGAACTTCCTGATTTGCCTGGATCTAATCTGGATCTATGACATAAGGAATGGCTGGAGGGCATTGGCACTACCAAGCAGGCCAAAATAAAACCCTGGGACGGGTGGCACAGCAGGCTACTAAACACAGCTGGCACCCTGCCCTTCCCCCCAAACTGGGCCTCCGGCTGGGCCCTATACCTTTCCTTCAGGAGACCACAAGGTTATCTGAGGCAAAGAGACAGTGACCATGCCAAAAGTTATTGGGGAAGGGAGCTTTACACTCCCCGCGCAGTCCAAAGTTAGGGAATCCTCCTGTTGAAAGGAATAAAGGTTGCCCCGTTTCCACCCCTGGGGCTGTTGGACCTCCCTGGCTTGGCACTCCCTCGTGTCTCACTGCTGCAGGACCAGAAGATCCTGGCCCTGGAGAACTTGGTGCAGAACCTCCAACAGCACCAGGGTAAGAGGCCCAGGTCAGGCCCCTCTCCTGGGCCCTGGGGCTCCTGGGAGCTTAGACGGTGACTTCTGGGTATCAGGGCTCCAAGAGTATCAAGCTGACCCCTGTTGGACAGCTGGGCCCAGAGAAGGACAGCAACCTATAGGAGAGCGCCAGAGTGTCCATGCCCACCTGCTTGGATCTGCGCCCCCTGCTGCACAGGCACCACCCAAAAGAGGGAGGAGCTACTCTCCAATGGCATTTGGACTTTTTTTTTTCTGATCCTGGGGCTTGAACTCTTGAAAGCTCTCCCTGAGCTTCTTTTGCTCTACCACCTGAGCTGCAGCACCACTTCCGACTTTTTTTGAGCAGTTTATTGGAGATAAGAATCTCAAAGAGTTTCCTGCCCAGACTGGCCTTGAACCGTAACCCGTGGATCTCAGCCTCCTAAGTAGCTAGGGTTACTGGCGTGAGCCACTGGCACTGGGTTTGGTGGCCTTTTGAGAGTGCAGGTACCTCCCTGCTCCTGAATAAGGGGAGGAGTCTGACAGCATCAGTTGTCAGGGGATCCCAGAGGACCAGAACACCTGGCGGAGTCTCACCCCATCTTCCCCTCAGGCGGGCTGTCCAGACAGCAGCAGGAGGAGCTGGAAGCCACCTGTATGCAGCTGCAGCGGCAGGTTAGGGAGATGGAGGTGAGCAGCAGAGCCTGGGTGTGTGTATTTGAAGCCAGCTAGCCCTGGCCCTGGCCCTGGACTGCCCTGTAGGACCAGGTCAAAACCTCCCTTCTCTCAACCTGTCCTTAGCGACACCACACTCAGGGCCCTGGGCTCACAGAGTTTAAAGACCCAGGAAAGTGTTCAGTTCCAGGGCACCTCTCCTTTCAGCCCCAATCCACCTCTGAATGTGTCCTGATTAGGCTCAGTTCCGAAGTCCTTACTGTGGCTCCTGTACTCCCCTCCAGCTACAGGGCCTTCCTCTGGTTCTGTGAGCACAGCTACCCTTTCCTACCCCAGGACCTTTGCCCATGCTGTCTCTTGAACTGTTCTTCCCTCCCCTCCAGCAAGTGTTTACTCATCCTCAGTCATTTCCTCAAGGGTCTTTCTGATGTCTGGCCTGGGCAGGTTCCCTGTCCTTTGATCTCATGGTACCTCATTTCTCTTCCCCTGTGGGGCTATGAACTCCTTGAGGTAAGACTGGATCACCTAGGACCTAGCACTGAGCCATTCTGTGTCTCACCCAGGACCTTTCACCCAGCCATGCAGCAAGGCTTGAACTTTCAGCACTGGAAGCAGGGAAGGGTGGAGCAGGCCTGTCCCTCCACTCTGCCTGAAGCTCTCCTGGGATCTGCTGCTCCTTCCCCTTGCAAAGTGTGTTTCCAGTGACAGGGGCGGACCTCCAGCTCAGCTGCAGTGATGGGCCCTGCCCACCTGGGCTGTGGGGGCCATTGTGCCCAAGCTGCCTGCAGGGAATGGGGCACCCCACAGGACCCCTCTGAGCAGCGGCCCCTGGGGACGAGGGCACCAGGGGCTCATGCACCCCTACGACCTTCACTTCTCTTGCTTGTTTCTTTTTAGGTTTTGATGATACTAAGGTTTGAATTCAGGGTGTGTGCTCTCCAGGCAAACACCTTAGCACCTGAGCAATTCACCAGCCTTTTTTTTTGGGGGGGGGGGAGGGGTCCGGTTATGGGGCCTGAACTCTGGGCTTGGGCGCTGTCCCTCAGCTCAAGGCTAGCGCTCTACCACTTGAGCCACAGCGCCACTTCCGGCTTTTTTCTTTTTGCTTATGTGGTGCTGAGGAATCGAACCCAGGGCCTCAGGCATGCAAGGCAAGCGCTCTACCACTGAGTCACCTTCCCAGCCCTTACCAGCCCTTTTTGCTTTGGCTGTTTTGTGAACAGGGTCTTTATGCCTGAGTTGCTCTGGACTGCAGTCCTCTCATATTTGTTTTCTGTGTAGCACAGGCATGTGCTACCATACCCAGTTCGTTTGTTCGTTCCTTCCTTCTTCATTCCTTCCTCTGTCTGTCTCTCCTCCTCCTCTTTAGTGCTAGAAAGTGAACCTAAGTTCTCACTCTACCACTGAGTTACATCCCCAGCCCTATACCCAGTTTCTCAATGGTTAAGAAGAGATATGGAGAACTTTTTGCCCAGTCTGTCCTCAAGCTGTGAGCCTCTAGATCTGTGTCTCATGAGTAGCTACAGTTCCAGGTGCTTCCCATGTTTATTGCTTCATAATTTAACAGACTCAAAGGAGCTCCTGTGCGTTGGGATGTGCTACCAGGCACCGAGTGTGCTCCATCTGCACACAGACCCAGTCCTGACCCTCATGGGGTTGATGTTCTGCAGGGTCCCGAGCGGACACAAGTACAGAGAGCACAGGAGATAATTACAGGGCTGGCCTAAGTTGGGGACAGGCCACTGTGGAGGTGACTGTGGCCATGAGAGGGAGGGTGAGGAAAATAGACCAAAAGACCTCACCTTGGCCCTGGGAATTGGGCTGTGGCTGGTGGTCATGGGAATGAGGAAACACCAGAGATAGGCCAGGCCAAAGAGCCATGTGGTTGTGGCTTGGCCTTGGTGTGGTGATAGATTATATTTGGGACCACTGGAATGGACTGGAAGGTGTCAGTAGAAGGGGCCCTGAGTGAAAGACACCTGCTGTGCAGGTGGGAGGGGAGGGGAGAGCCAGTGGCAGCCTGGGCTGGAGGCAAGGTTTGGGCGGGGTGGGGGATGCTGCTTCCTGAGATGGAACCGGAAGGGGAGGGGCCTGGGAGGTGGCCACAGGTAGGTAGATGGGAAGAGTGGACTTTAGAGTGCCCTTTGGGCGTCTTTGTCTGGATGGATATAAGTAAGTCTGGAGCTCAGAGGCGGGATGTGCACTGGATATGAATTTGGGTTTTGTCCATGTATATTTGGTAATGGACAAGAATGATAAAGAAGAGCCGGGCGCCGGTGGCTCACGCCTGTAATCCTAGCTACTCAGGAGGCTGAGATCTGAGAATCTCGGTTCAAAGCCAGCCCGGGCAAGAAAGTCCCTGAGACTCTTTACCTCCAATAAACCACTAGAAAACCAGAAGTGGCGCTGTGGCTCAAGTGGTAGAGCGCTCGCCTTGAGCTGAAGAGCGCAGGGACAGCGCCCAGGCCCAGAGTTCAAGCCCCACGACCGACAAAAAAAAAAAAAAAAAAAAAAGAATGATAAAGAAGAGCATATAGACAGGGCTGGGGCCGGGGACCCTCACAGGCCCAAGCGCGGTAGAAATGGGGAACCAGCAAAGGAAGTTGCTGAGGGGCGGCCTTGGCCAAAAGAAGTAGGTGTTGAAAGAGGAAGACAGAACCGTGCCCGCTGCTTTGGCAATGGGCAGGATGCTGGCGGCTGCCCCACAAGCAGGGCGGATGAGGAGCTGGAGTGGGTGGCAGAAAGGAGGGGAGACAAGCAGACAGAAACTCCAAGTGCATACAGTCCAGAAGTTTCCCTGTGACCCAGGCTGGTCTTTGGGTGGCCATATCCCCCCGGATATCCCTGCCTCTCCTCGTGCTCAGGCCAGCCCCGTGTGGCCCTTACGGCGCGAAGCTTCTTGCTGAGGCTTTCTGGCACTTGTGGAGAAGGTGCTGTCATCTCCGGCCCGGGGGAGAGGGTGCGCTCACCTTCAAGGTCACAGGCAGAACGTGACCAGCACCCTCAGCACACGCTTTGGCCCACTGGCTCGGGCTGAGGAGCGGGGCTGGGCTGCTGCTATTTTCCTTGGGTGGGGGCTGGCTGTTGGCACTCCATGTCTGCCCCTTCCTTCTCCACAGCGCTTCCTCAATGACTATGGCCTGCAGTGGGTGGGAGAGCCCATGGACCAGGAGGACTCTGAGAACAGGACAGCCCCAGAGGATGATGGGCAGGCCTGGATGACAGCCAAGAAATTCTGGAAGCCAGGTAGAGTAGGAGGTCTGCCCGGCCTGCTTCTAGCAGCTTCTTGGTTTGCCATTCTCCAGAGCCCCTCATCTAAACCTCACCTTCCCAGCGTGAGTGGCCCCTATGGGGGCCTCGCCCCTAAACCAGGGAAGAAAAGGCCAAGGCCTCTCTCCAAGTTGCTGGCCAGGGCCTTCCCTGGTCTCACCCCAGACTCTACTTGCTCATCTGTTCACAGTCCCAGAGACTCAGTTACAAAATGTCACATTTGAGGGGGCCTGTAATTCACATCTGCCATCCTAACTAATCAGGAGGCTGAGATCTAAGGATCCCAGTTCAAAGCCAGCCCAGGCAGGAAAGTTGTGAGACTCTTATCTCCAATAAACCACCAGAAAACCGGAAGTGGCGCTGTGGCTCAAGTGGTAGAACACTACCCTTGAGCTGAAGAGCTCAGGGACAGCACCCAGGCCCAGAGTTCAAGCCCCATGACTGACCAAAAATCAAACAACAACAAAAACCCAAAATGTAACATTTGCCTCAGGCTCCATGGTTTACAAAATGTCAGTCTTGCTGAAGCAAAAGTTGTTGCCAAAAAGAAAAAAAATAATCCTAAACCAGGCTTAGTCCATGAGACTCTTTATCTCCATTAAACTACTACTAAAAAAGCCAGAAGTGGAGTTGTGGCTCAGGTAGTAGAGCACTAGCCTTGAGCAACAGAAACTTAGGAACAGATCCTGAGTTCAATCCCCAGGACCAGCACACATACACTCACCCCCCCCCAAAAAACAAAACAAAACAAAACCAAAACCCACCAAACCAAAATACCACTATTTGTGTGTTGTTTGTAGCTCTCAAGGTATTTTCAATTTTTGTTTTTTTATTTCCCTTGTACTGGGGTTTTGAACTCAGGGCCTTGTACTTGCTCAACTTGCTTGCTTGGCGGTGCTCTACCACTTGAGCCATACCTCCAGCTCAAAGCATTTTCATAAAGTCTTTGGCATGGGCAGGAGGTTAATCCACTTTTTGTGTGTGTGTGTGTGTGTGTGTGTGTGTGTGTGTGTGTGTGTGTGTGTGTGTGTGTGTGTGTGTGTGTGTGTGTGTGTGTGTGCTGGTCCTAACTAATCCATTTTACAAATGAGCCAACTGAGGCTTGAGTCTGCATCCCCCTGTCAAGCACAGGGGTCAGACTTAAAGCTGAGTGCACTGAAGGGTGGCTGCAGTTATTCAACAGGAGAAATAATGCCTGGCATGAACTGGTACCAATGAGCTGGCAGGAGTAGGCAGAGCAGAAAGATAGGAGAGGCAGAGTCGGTGGCCTTGGTGACTGTGTGTGAGGAGGAGGAGGAGAAGGAGGAGTAGCAGTAGTAGCAGCAGCAGCAGCAGCAGCAGCAGGAGCAGCAGCAGCAGGAGCAGGAGGAGCGTCCAGGTGGCCCAGGGAGCATGGCTGTGGAACAGTGTGGTGCTGAGGGGAGCCAGACATGCAGCTCAAACATGGAATACTGGAACCCAGGGTCGGGTGGCGTGGGCAGTCCTCCACTGCTGTGCCAGGGCCCAGTTCAGAGTACACCCTGGCCCTTCTTTTGCTTTTTAACATAGGAAGGGCCTTGACTGAGCTCTTCCTGCCGGATGAAAACATGTTCTTCATCCCTAGCCGCTTTTCCTCCTGGGCCTCCTGCTCCTCAGGCGCCGCCGGCTCCTGTCTCCAGGCCATGGGGCCCAGCACCGGCCTCTCACCGGCCTGATGCTCCACCTGTTTCCTTGCTTTCCCTCCTGCTGGATGTCCATCCCCATGGGCTCAGGAACAGAGGCCCATGGGTGGATGAGCCAAAGCATCTGTACTGGGCCAGAGGGGTTGATGAGAATGTTCTAGAGCCTGGAACTCTCGTCTTAGGAGAGTCCCCCATAGAGGGACCTGGCAGAGAGAAAGCCTTGCCAAAGGCCTGGCTTTCCCTCCCCAACCTTTCACCAAGATACTGCTCATCCAGTGAGTTGCTGTGCCAGGTGCTTCGGGGGGAAGGAGGCGGGGGAAGCGTGGGGATGCGAAACAGACAGTCCTGCTCTGGTCACCGCATGGACCAGGCATTGGGCCACAAGGCTGAGACTGTCAGGCAACTCTGATCAACCCTCTCTTGCTTTGAGTTCCTCCCTTCCCTCTACTCCCCCCCAGCCCCCCCCACCACCCAAGACCAAGTGTCTCAGTCTGTGTCGGTACATCTTTCTAATACCAAGTAAGGCTGCACTGACCAGCCTTTTTTTTTTGTCAGTTTTGGGGCTTGAACTCTGGGCCTGGGCACTGTCCCTCAGCTCTTCAGCTCAAGGCAAACGCTCTACCATTTGAGCCATAGCGCCACTTCTGGTTTTCTAGTGGTTTATTGGAGATGAGAGTCTCACGGACTTTCCTGCTTGGGCTGGCTTTGAACTGTGATCCCCAGATCTCAGCCTCCTGAGTAGCTAGGATTACAGGCGTGAGCCACTGGCGCCCGGCTTGACCAGCCTCCTTCACTGGTCCCTAGGCCACCTTTTGGGTTTTCCAGCCAGCTCACACCCTGGCAAGCCTGGCTGCTCTCCACCCTTACCCCTGTCTCGAACCCTTGCATATACTGTGTCCCCTGGAAGACCTTGCTTCCTTCTCTTGCACTCTTTGGCGCTTGGCTCAGAGGCGCACTCCTCCAGTGAATCCCAGCTGACACCTGTGCTGTGCCAGGCCGTGAGCTGCCATGACAGCCTGGTGGGAGGGGCTCAGACTGGGAGCGGGGAGAGACTGCAAGCCTCTGAATCCATTTCCTTCTGTGTGGGCGGATGTGGCCACAAACCTGACCATCAACCTGTGTTACTTCACCAGTCTTGTGTGCCAGAATACCTAGCACAGTGCTTGGCACATAGGCCCGGGCATATATTCCTGTACCAGGTTGGCTGTGGGGCCCAGTGCTCCAAGCTTAGACCACAGAGCACAGAGACAATGTAGGGCTTAGGTAGAGACAGGGCAGCACTGAGCTCAGTGCCAGGGGCAGGAGAGAGAGCTGCAGGTGGGATCTTGCAGGCCTGTCTTGGTCACAGGCCAGTGTGCGCCATCACCCACCAGACTCAGTCTCTTTTTTTCTGCCTACTTCCTTGGGGAGTGGAGGGAATGGTAGATGAACTCTCCAGAGTGGATGTGGCCTGCTGGGGTGTGGGACCAGTCTGTTTACTGTTGTAAGAGTCTGTGTGAGGTGTTGCCTGAGACGGGTATAGCACCTTGGGTACCACAGTATCTGCTCCCCCTTCCAGAGAACCTACAGGGTCTCTGCTCACCCAACAGTGGCAGGATCTGGCCCTGCTCCAGGCTGTGTGACCTCCGCATTGACACTTAGCATTTGCTAATCAGCACTATTTGTTCAGATCAGCACGTGCTGTGGAACCTCTGCCTGGGCCGGGCCTGCCTGTGTGTAGGATGGGTCTTGGGTGGTTGAAGGGCCTTGTGACTGGGCAGGTGTTCCAGGAACCCAGCGGGGGGTGAGGGGAGGGGCTCCTGGAAGGTGGTTGGAGGAGTGGGTACGTGCAGCCTGGGCCAGTGTTAAGCGACAGCAGCGGCCACCATCTGCCAGGTACCTCCTCTATGTCCCACAGCATCCTGTGATGCCCTTAGTGCCCTCATCTGGCAAAAGAGGAGGCTAAGGCCCACGGGCTCTCAGGGTGAGATGAGGCCTCCATGATCTGGGTTCCAGCACTGCACCCCTGCCTAGCGAGGAACCCCCATGCATGGCATCCCCAAAGCCAGTGCAGGGTCTGCATTGGGCCCTGCATACCCACGATCTGGGGCAGGGCACCTCACAAGGCTGTTTCCTCATCTATCAGTGGGAATGGACAGTCCTGCCTCTAGGCATAATGACAGGCTCCTCTATGGGATCTTGGGGTTAGGTTAGGGTTCATTCACAGAAAGCCTGCAGCTCAGAGGAAATGTCTCCCAGCCCTCACCCTGCCGCCAGCCTGGGGCGGGATGGGACTCACTTTCTGGCCTCCATCACTCCAGGTGGCCCCCACTGCATCTCTCGTGTCAGTCCTGGGGCTTGGAAACTCAGGGCCTGGGCACTATCTCTAAGCTTCTTTTGTTCACGACTAATATGCTATCTCTTGAGCCACAGCGCTACTTCTGGCTTTTTCTGTTTATGTGGTACTGAGGAATTGAACCCAGGGCCTCGTGCCTGTTAGGCAAGCACTCTACCACCGAGCCACATTCTCAGCCCCACTGTGCCTCTTTTATGACACAGGGTTAGAACTCTGTTGGTCGCTCGTGGGACTGGCTGGTGGCTCACTGAAGCCATACCTGTCTTCTTCCCTCTGCCCTGATTTGACCAGAGCTGTGATTCTTTCGTGGGCTTCTTGTCCCCATTCCTGGCCATCATTCCCAGTAGCTGCCCTTACTACCCTGCTCTCATTTTCCCAAGCCTCAGCCATTTGCGCTGGGCAGACCACCACATCAGTCTGGTCTTTTCTCTAGGTGAGTATTCTCCCACTGAGCTGCTTCTCCAGCTCCTGAAGCATTCCCTTGGCAAACTTTTCTCTATAGCTGCTTGCTGGCATTCTCCCCTGGGCTTCCTCCTGTCGCCTTCCCTCTGACCACCCTGTGTCCACCAGGCCCCAGAAGCACTGTGTTGGGTGCCACTCCTAGGTCTGCTGTGGGTGGTCTGCTTGGGCCAATGCCACCTGACCTTTCCTGACCTCACTTTTCCCCTGCTATAGGAAGAGGGATGGGGCTGGTCTTGCATGAAATGCTCTTTTCTTTGCTGCTGTGTTATAGGTTTACCAATTTGTGCTTAATGTAGTTACTTATTAAAGGGAAATAATGTCTTAATTATCATTGTGAATCATATCAGAGATGCCCAGAACGTTCTGTTTTTCTTGGAATCACAGAGACTGGGGCAGAGGAGGAGGGCAGGCCTAGCCCCCGTGATAGTGGAGATGTGGGGGGAAAGAAGAAAGGGGAAGGCTGCCTGAGGCCTACCGTTTTGGCAACTGTAAAGGCAACAGGAAACAGCCACCCGCATCTCTTGCCTGGTACAGCTAGCTGCTACACCATTGTGGGGAAAGGGAGTTGGGTCCCCAGAGCCCTGGCCCACATCCTGCTGCAGCCTGGCTGTTGTCATGACAACAGCTTCCAAGCAAGCCCACCATGTCACTCGTAATGGAAGCTTTTACCCCAGTGAGCAACTCATTTGGGGGCCAGGGCCCTTCAGACTGCCGAACAGGCCTCGGCCAGCCCAGCGGCAGCATCCCTCCTGTCCTGTACCCTTTCTGCTCTGCATCAGCCATGGCTGTTTCCAGCACCCCACCAGCACCCCCTGAAGTCAGGGCACAGCTGGATGTGCATCTGTTTTGAGAGTTGGATACCAGCGCTTGAACTATTTGTACAACCTGAGGACTGCCCCCACATCTGTTCCGTCCAGCAGCTGTCCCAACATCCTCCCAGCAGCCATGTGTCCCCACCTCTGACCTCCTCTCCTCATGATACAGATGCCTGGGAAACAAACAAGATGTGGAAGTCCACCCAGTTCCAGTTCTTTCCCTGCTAACTTGCCAGGTGGCCTAGGGCGAGTCATTTTGGTGTCTCTGGGTCTGTTTCCTCACGCATACATGGAGATAAGTATCCTCCGCCTCACAGCCTCAGGACTGACATGAGGACCATGTGTGCAAGGTAGCGCAGGTAACAATCCAGTAGAGTTCACCTTGTTCTGAGCTCTTTCGTGGCCACCTTGGAACCTTCCAGCTACCCTGGGAGGCCGACATTTGGTGTCCTACTCTAGAAGAGAATGCTGTGACACAGAGCATTAAATGACTCCTCTCAGGTCACACAGGTAGAAGTGGAAGAGCTGGCACTGGAAGCAAGCAAGCCTTGATCCAGAGCTGGGAGCTCTGCTCCATGGTTGTCAGCTGCCAGCGCAGTGCCCGACACAAAGCTGGGATCAAACCCTGCCTCTGTGTCCTACTGTGTTGTGTGGCTAAGTAGATCACGTCACTCCCCAATCCTGTTTTCTCCTGAAAAAAAAAAAAAAACCGGAGCTGACTGTAGCTTTTAATGTATAGCATCGGGTCAACGATGATGGGTATTAACCCTCTGGCTCAAAGTTAAGTGCTCAAGAAAAGATAGATCTTATTATCTAGTGTTAGCTATCCTTCCTTTCCCTCAGGTGGCCACTTAAGGAGACTCTGAGGCTACTCCCCAGCTTGAGAGGGGCTCACAGAAGCCACGAAGAGGCTCATGGGCATCTATCCTCTTTACCAGGGGATTCACTGGTGCCCCCTGAGGTGGACTTTGACAGGCTGCTGGCCAGCCTTCAGGAACTCAGTGAGCTGGTAATGGAGGGGGAGCCCCAGGTGCTACCCGTGCCCGGTGGGGCTCGGCTCAAAGTCCTGGAGCCCATCCCACTGAAGCTCTACCGCAATGGCATGATGATGTTCGATGGGCCCTTCCGGCCTTTCCACGATCCCTCCACACAGGTAGGAACTGGAGTGGGGCTGGGGGGGCGGGGAGAGGGTGTCTTCCACCTGCCCACTATTGCTTGGAGATGGTAGAACCACTCATCCAGGCCTAGCGTGTCCTCCATGAGGCATTCATCCCCTACCCAAGTCTTAGGGTGCCGTATTTCCAGAGCGGGAAGCTCTGGCTAGCCCAGGGCCTGCCATCCAGATGCTACTTGGCCCTGAGTCTTTACCCTTCCTCTTCCCTCCTGCAGCGCTACCTCCGGGACATAATGGATGGCTTCTTCCCCTCAGAACTCCGGCGGCTGTACCCCGATGGGGTCCCCTTCAAGGTGATGGGCTTGTTCCTCAACCTACACCTTTCCCGTGTAGAAAGTGGGGATAGACACTTTCCCCAGGCTTACTGAGGGTTAGTTAGCCAGTGCCTCATCTCAGGAGACCCAGTCTGATAGCTGCCAGGACGAAGGTGAACCTGAGGTTGGCTGGCCACGAGGTCCTGAGGCCAAGCAGCCAGCAGCGCCCTCTGCTGGCACCCTGGAGACTCAGCCTTGGCATCAGGACCATGCCCTTCCTGTCCTACTCAGCATTCAGGACAGCTTGACAGCCTCTGAGGTCCCTGAGGAATCTAAACACAAGTGGCCTGGCTTTGCAGAGGTTCCCGAAGCCATCTGGTTGGGGTGGAAGGCAGTGCCACGAATCACAACCACCAGAGTGGGCCAGTGCTGGCTGGGCTTCAAGGCTATGAGATGAGCCAGTCTGTGGCAGGGGTGTGTGAGACCAAGGGTACAGCTCAGGGCTGCAGAGGGTGGCGAGTTATTTCCACAGGAGGAAACACAGTGTGAGTCATGGCTGCAGATGTTGGATGTGTTTATACCAAAACGGGCCTTGGCGTTGTGTCTTGGTGAGGCTGGTGAGGCGGCTTTCTCCTGACACTCGTACCCTTTCACTGTGAGCTTCGGAGAGGGGAGTCTCTGAGGAAGGTTTCAGTGCTGTGGCTTCAGCTGGCTCAGAAAAGGGGTGCTTGCAGTAGCAGGGTCCAAATAGGTAACGGCTGGTGGCTCTCCTGCTTCCCCAGTGCCGCAGTTGCCTTCTCTGCGAAGTAGGGATTACATCAGACCGTCCTTTGGGCCTGTGGGCAAGCAGGAGCGTGGGTAGGGTCCAGGGCTGAAGAGCTGGCTTGCCGCTGTTGCTCTTCCTTCCTTTCAGGTAAGCGACCTGCGTGATCAGGTCTACCCGGAGGATGGGCTGGGTCCATTCCCAGGTGAGGAACGTGTAGTGGGCTGGCAGAGGATGCCCAAGACCCTAGACAGGATGGAGGAGCACCCAGGTAAGCTAAGCCCCAAAGGCTGAGCCTGTGGCTAGGCGGAAGTGGGGGGCGGGGGCGGAGGTCTGGGCAGAACAAGCTTCAGGTGGCCTCCATCCCTCACAGTCCATCCCTAGGCCAAGGTTCCCAATGCCCTCCCTGCAGGCTCCAGGCTGACTGCTGAGAAATTTCTGAGCAGGCTCCCCAAGTGTGTGATCCGACAAGGCGAGGTGGTTGACATCCGGGGCCCCATCAGGGACACCTTACAGGTGAGGCAGCCTTCATCTCCCTGTCTTCTCTGGGGAGGACTTTATTACCAATCCTGGCCCAGCCTGAAGCACCTGGTCCAGAGGCCCAGGTGAGACTTCTCAGAGCCACGCTATCTGTGGAGGCCCAGGTGAGCACATGGGGTGACTGCAAGTGGGATAAAGTCTTGAGTCCAACTGGGGGGCTGTGAGCCCCAGCCTCAGCTCATGCCCTTGAGGTGCAGCTCTGAGTCCCCAAAAGGCCCCTTGATTTCTCCCAGTTCTTAGACCTACCCATTATGCTACCTGAGAAAGGTGCCAAACAGCTCTGCAGACTTCCCTGCTTCCTTCACTATGTTGCTTGCTAAATGCTGTCCAGTCTGGCCCTCTGCAGACCTCCTCTCACTCATCCTCTCCATGCCACCTTCCCCTCCCCCCCCTGCCCCCAGTCTGAACCTCCCTCCTCCATTCCTGCCCCTGCTAGCCCTGCTTCCCTAGTAGCCTTTCGTGCTGAAATGGCTGAGGCTGGACACCAGAGGCTAATGTTTATAATCCTAGCTACTCAGGAGGATGAGATCTGTGGATTACAGTTCAAAGCCAGCCCAGGCAGTAAAGTCCATGACGCTACTATCTCTAATTAATCACCAAAAAGCAGAAGTGGAACTGTGGCTCAAGTGGTAAAATGCCAGTCTTGAAAGAAAAAGCTCAGGAACAGTGCCCAGGCCCCCTGCATTTAAGCTTCAGTATTGGTTTGTGTGTGTCACACACACACACACACACACACACACACACACACACACACACACACACAAAGAAAAAAATCGCCCAAAGAGAAAGATTCCCTAAGTTCCCATTCTGCATCCCCATTCTGCATCACTGGCCATGCCCCCGCTCCCCTCACTTTTTTTCATCCAGTCCAACTTGGTTCCCACGATGAATTGCCGTCCATTTCCCAAATGTTTCTCATCCTCTCGGATGTTCTTGACCTCAGGATCTTTGTCCCTGCTGTAGGCACCTTCCCTGCCCCCATCCTGTTTCTAAGGACTCTGACTGCTCTTCAGCCTCAGCTCAGGTGTCATCCCTAGGGAAGCCCTCCCTGACCCAAGGCTGGGTCAGCACCAGCTTGCCCATCGTCTGTGTGGGCTTCTCTCCCCTTTTCTGCTCCTTGGATTGGACTGGGGGGGAAGGCTTCTCTGGATTGATGGCATTGCCTCCCTGGGCACTCCTCCTCTTGTACTTCCTCTCTTTGGGCCTGTTTACACAGAACAGCCCGTCCCTCTGGCTCATCAGACTTACCCATCCTTGCTCAAGGATAAGTTGGGTCCCCTCCAAGGGTAAGGGGCCAACTCAGGTGGGGCCCAGGGATCTGTCCGCTCTCTGCTGATACCTTTCAGAACTTCTGTCCATTGCCTACCCGGATCCAGGAGGTCATAGTGGAGACACCTGCTTTGGCTGCTGAGCGGCAGAGGTGAGGGCAGGGCACAGAGGTTCCTCTCTAGGGAGTTTGGCCACTGGAGTCCTGACGAGTTCTTGGCCTGCAGGAGCCTGGAATCCCCCAGCATGCCCGCGCCCCCACTCACCACACTGCGCATCAGGTCTGAGAACGGGGAGCAGGCCTTCCTCCTGATGATGCGGCCCGAGGACACTGTGGGAGATGTGCGAGCCCTGCTAGCCCAGGCCAGGTGGGCACGGTGGGGGGGGGGGGCAGGGCTGGGGGGGCCACAGAAGACCGTGCCTCCGTGGCCTAGCCTGACCCACTCCTCTGGACCCTCTAGGAACATGGATGCTGCCGCCTTTGAGATCTTCAGCACGTTCCCGCCCATGGTCTACAGCGATGATGCACTCACACTGCAGGCTGCAGGCCTGGTGCCCAACTCCACATTGCTGTTGCGGACACCCAGAACCCAGCTGGCCAACCCCAACTTTGTTTCAGGCTCTGGCCCCAAATAAAGTGCCACCATGAGCTCTACAAGGCTCTCTTGGCAGGGCTGTCTCCAGAGGAAGGCTGAGGCCCAGCTGGGTAGGGAGGGGGCGGTAGGAGCACGTGTCCCCCGTCCCTCTGTAACTGGAGCCCCAGCTGGCGGGCTTGGCTGCTGCGTCTTTGTCTTCTGGGTTCCTCTTTCTCCTAAGCAGGGCTAAATGGATTCCGGGAGGAGGGTTTGGGAGAAGGAAGGCTCCTGAGGGCGTGGTCCTCCCCAGCTAGGTTTAAGCAGCCAGGGCCAGCAGATACCTGCGCACAGACAGGCATAGGCCCGCAGGCTCATGGGGCTACTTCCTCCATAGCACAAACAAACCTGCTGTCACTACACCCATGCCCTCAAAACTGCCAGAATCACAGCTGAGCACCCACTCCCATGACACACCCACTCGAAGCCAGTCTGCTCCAACACAGAAGACAACCACAATCACTGCCAGGCATGCAAATGGACACCCACTACATGCACAGGAGTCAGAGGGTGGCCCAGCCACTGCCTCCAGATACCACTAGTTCACACAGGCATGTGGTGTCACACCGATCCAAACGCATGCAGCACACAGGTGACAGTTTCAACCAGCAGCCTCACCCAGGGCAGGGACCCAGCACGCCCAGGCCACAACCAGACAGACAGTGCCAGTGGAATGGGCATTTAATTGTCTCTAGGATGCTCCCAGAAGGGGGGACTGCGGGGCCTTTGGCAGAGCTCTGACTAATGGAACCAACAGAAGTGTCCATCGCCAGTGCCAGGCAGGGAGGCAGCCCCAAGGCCTGGCTGGGGACAGCCAGCCAGCACTGGGGCTGTGGTTTAAGACAATTTCTGAGACTAGTGGATAAGGAATGTTTCTTTGGAATGGAAGGGAGGGCGCTATAAAGAGCAGGGAGGAAGGCTTGGGTTAGGTTGGGGGAGGGATGCCAAGGTCAGGTTAGGAATGACAGGGAGTTGGTCACAAGGTCCTTTCAGACCGGGTGCGGTCTGTGGGGAGAAGACGGTGTGGTCTGGTGGAGACTCAGGCCAGCTTCAGGAACTCTTGCAGCGTGTTCTGTTCCACAGCCTCCACGAAGAGCTCATAGTCCTGGGGGAGGGATGGTGATCATTTGAGCGCGGGGGTGGGGGGGTCGTACTCTGTCCAGTCCTCTGACAACGCTCCCCCCACCCCGACACTCCCACCTCCAGCCCCTGGACCCTACCCCGCAATACTGGTCCCCGTTGACAATCTGGGGTGGGGTGGCCTTGGGGTTGCCTGCCAAGGCTCGCATCTCATCCCGCAGGGCGTTGTCTTGAGAGATGTCTACTAGCTGGTACTGGATTCGCTTCCCATCCAGGATGCGGGTCACCTCACTCTGCTGGGACTTGATCTAGGGGCAGAGGGTGGGTAGGGTTAGTGGGCAGTTTGGATGGTTTCTGGAGGGAACCCTGGGCAGATGTACAAAGCTTTCGCCACGAAGGGAGGGAGTGGGACAGATCAGGCTTGGGGTAGCCCTGGACGAGAGAGACGGCCACCAGGGGCGGGGTGTGAGAGGAGTCAGCGAAAGTTCGCCTGGCGCTCGGCCCACAGTAGAGGGGGGCGTGCTGAGGGCGGGCCCGGCCCCCCGGTGGGGGATGGGCGCCGAGCTCGGGCCGGGGCTGCTGAGGACCCAGGACGCCCAGGGAGCGGGCTCCGGAGGGGGCCTCGACCCCGGATCCGGGTCTGTCCACACCTCGCCTCCGCCGCGGGGGCGGGTCCGGGCTCCGGGTTTGGAGCACCGGGAGCTGGCCCACGTTCTCCGCCGGCGCGGGCCCGGGCGCACACTCACCTCACGGGAGCCGGTGACCGAGGTGCTGTAGACGCGCAAGCCGCTCATGCTGCAGGCGGGCGGACGTGCAGATAAACCCGGAGACGGTGGGAGCGGCAGCTGCACGGCCCAGACGACGCCGCTGCGCTCGGGAGCGGTTTCCTTCCTGCTCCGCCCGCGAGTCACCGCCCTCAGGACCAATGAGCTGCGCAGGCGGGGAGGCGGGGCCTCCGCGGCCCCGCCCCGCGCACCAGACCCCCCCCCCCACGCTCTCGGGACTTGTCTAGCGCCGTGGACCCCAGTCGTGGCCGCGCGCCGCCGCCCTCGCAGCCCTGGGTGATCTGGGGCCCGGGGGAGGTGGGGAGGGGCCAGAAGGCAGGAGAGGCGCGGGAGGAACGTTCAGCAAAGGCTTCCCGGGCTCACCGGCTCCAGTGCATCTGTCACTTGCTCTGCAGGAAGAGGTCCCATCACCTAGCCTAGCTTGGGGTTCTGGAAAGGAGGCACACCGGAGCAGAGGCAGCGGGCAAGGAAACCCCTAAAGCTCCAGTCAGCTCGGGCAGGATAAGACAAGGGTGGTGGCAGGAAGCGGGGCCACGCCCTCCAGAAGCCAGACGGAGACCAAGGCAAGAGGCCAGTTGGATAGCTCTGAGAAGCGAGGAGGCAAAGGCAAGATCCACAGCTGGCTTTGGGATGGCCCCCTCCATGCTTCAGTTGGCACATTAAGGCTACCATCTCAGCAAGAACCAGGAGATTCAAAGGGAACTTCAGCAACCTGCCCAACTTCGGAGCCTTAGCTTCCTGCTGGGTTGTACATAAAGCCTCAGATATCTCCCCTTCCCCAGACCGCTAACAGTCCAGGAACCACCCGAGCCTTCTGAGCAAACAGTGCCTCAGAAGCCACAGAAACCCGGAGGTCTCAGACTTCCTCTCTGAGAGGCCTGCTGAAACTTTCCGGTGTCAGCCTGCTCTGTGACTCAGGGTAGCTTAGCCCAGGACAAAGTGTGGATGAGTGTCTTCATTTGTCCTCAGAAAAAGGCAGAGTGTGAGCTGGGAAGGTGGCTCAGTGGTAGAGTGCTTGCCTCGCATGCACGAGGCCCTTGGTTCGATTCCTCAGCACCACATAAGCAGAAAAAGCCAGAAGTGGCCCTGTGGCTCAAGTGGTAGAGCACTAGCCTTGAGCTGAAGAACTGAGGGACAGTGCCCAGGCCGAGTTCAGGCCCCAGGACTGACAAAAAAGAAAAAGGCAGAGTTATAAGAACACCCCATTGCATTTGCCAAAAAGTTCCTTCTTGCTGCTGTTTGGAACTTGACTGAAAACTTAATCTCTGACTCTCAAGCCAAAAGCAAGGGGTGGAGCCAGGGGTATGGGAATGATGGAAGGCTATGGGAAACAGAAATGTCTGTTAAATTTTTTTATTCTGTAATCAAAATAGGCAATACAAATCAGTTGACATAACGAAGATGCATATAAATAACTGCTTATAAACTTCACAAGGAAAAATACCCGTGAGCATGGTGGCAGGCCTCCCAACCCAGGGTGGAGACCAACCAGGCAGCTCTGCTTTTAGGAGGCAGGAGCCCAGAGGCTGAGGGGGATAGCCAGCTGGGTGGGGCCGCTCTGAATGGAAGGGATAAGTCACTCCATAAATAAAACACAAACTTGTAAAAACACTTAAGAAGGAGGCTCATTCAGTCCTGGAGTGAGGTCCAAGATGCTGCCAACAGCCCAAAGTTTGTCAAAAGTCTTGGCATGGCTGCTTCTGGTCTCCAGAACAGATTTGCTCCCCATACACACACATGGCCCCTGTGTGGCCTTTGTGCCAGATCTAGAGGAGGCCTGGGACTGGCCAACAACCAGACATTAACAATTGTGGGATGCCTTCTAAACCAGGCAAGAAAAACAAAAAACAAAACAAAAGCAAATGCCCCAGAGAAACAAACCTCCAGGAAACACTGAGAGTTAACTCTCAGAGGTGATTCCTTAGGAGACCAGAACAGGAAAGGGAAAGGGTTCCCCCAACATGAGGCACAAATCACAGGGCTGACACAGCCCTGGCAGAAGGAGTAAGCAGCTTGACAAGTGCCCTGTGGCCCTCTGGGGGAAAATTCTGCCCAAGACCAGAACCACAGAGAAAGGTTTGTACTCAAAGCCCAAGAAAGGATCTACCTGGAAGGCCTGAGAACAAAGGGGGAAGAGGCTGTGTAGGGCTGCTGAAGAGTGAGGACTCCTACACAGATGGCATGGCAGGCAGGCAAAGGAGCCCTGGCATCAGAGCCCCCAGTCCTACTGGGTACTTTGCTAATGAACAGATCACCCTGAGGCTTCTGCAAGAACAAGAGCCCTGAGGAGGAAGCAGAAGGACTGTGCCTGAGAAAACCCAAAGAGCCAGTTCAACTCCCAGAAAGGCTGGCACCTGGGGCTTGAGAATTCTCAAAAGGTTGGTACCCCTACTGGGCCTTTTCAGTCTCCCCTAAATAAGTTAGGGGCATCAGCAGCAGGTTCAAGTAATAGAGTGGGAATGAACGAAGATCCATCCTAGAGGACAGAGAGGGGGAGGCGAACAGCAGGTTGACCTGATATCAGCCAAGGGCTGGGAACAATTTCTGAGGACTTATCAGTTGAACCTGCAAAAGTTAATTAGTAACTCTCTCTCTCAAAAGGTGAATTAAGATAACAGAACTAACACAACCCAATAAGGCAAAGTCAGTGCAAGGGGGCCCCTCCTCCCTCCCCTCTGACTGCTCTGAGACAGCAGCAGGAATCTGCTAGCTAGGCTCAGAAGCCCAGGTCCTCCCTGAGGGATATGGTATGCCCCACCCTCAGCAGTCCTCACTGTGTGGCACAGTTTTCTCCCATGTCCTGGGCATATCTGTCTGACAAATTGGTCCTTAAGTCTTCGATGTCCCGGTGTAGCTGCTGAACCTCTTCAAGTTTCCTCCTGATCACATCTGGCTTCTGCAAATCCAGAGGAGTCCCTTGGTACTGTGTGGCTGCAGAGAACATTTAGAGTGTCAGAGACAGTTGGGAGACATTTCCTAGGGGGGACAGTATAGAGAGGCCCATGATCTTGAGACATACTATTGTTATTATTTTTTTGCCAGTCCTGGGCCTAGAACCCAGGGCCTAGGCACTGTCCCTGAGCTTCTTTTGCTCAAGGCTAGCACTCTACCACTTGGGCCACAGTGCCACTTCTGGCTTTTTCTGTTTATGTGGTACTGAGGAATCAAACCCAGAGATTCTGCATGCTAGGCAAGCACTCTACCACTAAGCCACATTTCCAGGGAGGAAGGAAGGAATAAACCTACAGCCTCAGTCACGCTAACCAAGTACTCTGTGATTTTACATCCTAGTCCCAGAACATTACAAAACAGGAGCTGGGGATAGCAGGCTGGTGACTTGCTAAGGCCCGCTTTTTGTACTTCGTACATACCTGGCATTTATAAAGGTAATCAACTCTAAAAGAACAATAAATTAGAAAAACAAAATAAAATTTTTAAAAAGATTCCTGTTTACAAAACACTGAACATCTACTTTGTGAAACATAAAAACTCTCAGAGGGGGAGCTGGGAAGGTAGCTCAGTGGTAGAGCACTTGCCTTGCATGCATGAGGCCCTGGGTTCGATTCCTCAGCACCACATAAGCAAAAAGAAAAAAGCCAGAAGTGGCGCTGTGGCTCAAGTGGTAGAGTGTTAGCCTTGAGCTGAAGAGCTGAGGGACAGCGCCCAGGCCCAGAGTTCAGGCCCCAGGACTGGACAAAAAAAAAAAAAAATCCCAGAGGGTGCTGGGAATGTGGCAGTAGAGTACTTGCCTAGCATGCATGAAGGCCTGGGTTCAATTCCTCATACCACATAACAGAAAAAGCCGGAAGTGGTGCTGTGGTACAAGTGGAAGAGTGCTGAACTTGAGCAAAAGCAGCTCAGGGACAATGTGGAAGCCCTGAGTTCAAGCCCTGGGACTGGCAAAAAACAAAAACAACTCCCAGAGGGCAGCACCAAGGCCTATTTGCCCTATTCACAAATTACTGATAGGAAAGTTAGATGGTAATGAAAGGATGAAGACATTTCTTTCACAGGTTCCAGATTGGCCTAAGAACTCACAGTGAATGCCCAGGAGCAGAGAAAGATTCGGGTCATGGCCCTGGACCCTCTGTGTCACAATGCTACAGACCGCCTGCAGATCTTGAAGACAACTGGCCAATTCTTGGTGTAACTCAAAGGCCATCTGGGATGTGTCTGGCGAAGGTGGGCACCCTGGCTGGGCCTGGCGCAAGTGCTCCTGCAGCGTTAGGTTCTTCTCAATCAAGTCCTGGTTCTGAACTGAGAGCTGAACAGACATGTGGCTAAGTATGTTAACCCAGGCCCAGGGAGAGGCAAATTATCTGTGCATATGGGTGTGGACATGAGTGGAGGGGAGGGTATGAGTCATAGGCAATGTCCCTCCTCCCCACCCCTGCCCTTACCAACAGGCTTAGCACCCTTCCTGCACACCCCCATATCAGACCCAGTTCCTCTGGGGGTAGGCTGGGCCCAAAGGGATCCAGCATGGGAGAGGAAGCTATTCTCTAGCACACTGACTCATCAGCCTCCAGGTTTCTGTTTAGGAACCAGAGAATATACTCCTAACTATAGGAACTCTATCTGAAGCCAGTCCCTCAGCCAACTCTGTTAGCCAGGCTATTAGAGATGGCTTAACGTGAACAGTGAAATCTGAGGAGACATTGGTTTCAATCTCTCCCTGCCACCCTGACAAAGTGGCCACTAGCCAGCCTGATCACAGGCTGTCAGAGGAATATGGAGGCAAGGAAAACAATGCAACTAGTGGTTCCTGGGAATGGGGCAAAAGAAAGTAAGAGACCACAGAATCTAAAGCTGAAAAGGATCCTGCTCTTCTCACCTTAGTGAACTTAGGCTTTACTATGCTGACAAGCTATTCACATCTGTCTCCTTCCTTTCATCTTCCTGAAAACTTAAATTCACTCTCTTCCCACTTGTTCCATTTTAAAAACTGAGCAGAGTTCCCAGTCTTCCACCTACACAGGGCCACAATCCTGGCAGGTGGCCAGTTAACTTGGTGGCCCCCTGCTGACAGTTCTGTTTACTGCATGAGGATTACCAAATTTATTGGGGGAAGAGATAAGAGACTGAGACAGGGGCTGGCTATGTGGTTTAAACTGT